GACCCCTGCAGGTGCTCAGGAAATGAGGGCCAGAGCACAAAGCTCCACCCACCGCCCAACCATAAACACTTCAGCTACAGCCCCACACTCGGTCCACCTGCTGGGCTTTCCCCACCCCCTGTATTTCTGTTATCTCAGGAGCACTCTGGAGCATCCTGCTGGGATCAAGGCTTCCTGCTCAGAACTGTGCACACCCTATCTCTGGAGTGGGGCCTGGCCTCTGCATCTCCCTGCCACCCTGGAGGCTGGCACCGGGCTCAATGCAGCTCTGTCTGGGCTTGGACGCTGGGCTGGCTTTACCAAGAAGCGCGAGTCCCTGAGAGGAAACGCTAGCCTGAGAACAATATATGGCCAGAGCTTTCCTGGAAAACAATGGGGAAGGAGGGCAGATGAGCAAGCAGAGATGATAGAACAAAAAGTCACAAAGGGATCAGGTTTTCATTTAGAAAGGTTTGCACGTGACTTCTTTTGGGGGGGGAGGTGTCTAGTAATTTGCAAGCAAATTTGGAGGCAGGAGTGGCATCCACTTCCACAATAGCTTGCCTCTGTAAACCTATGAACATGGAGAAAGGACAAAAGTTATACAAGAGGTGTCCAGGACTTTCGTTCATAAAGTCGCTATGAGTCACCTGCGACTTGACGGCACTTCACAACAAGAAGAAGTAATTTGCCAGGATTACCGTCTTCTTAACCCTTGAAGCACAAAGATGACTGCACGGGAGGCCACAGCCCTCTGAATTTGGCACTGGTAAAGCCAGTCACCATGGGCTTGACCTTGATCCATGGTGATCCCGTGTGTCAGAGCAGAACCGTGCCCCACAGGGCTCTGCACAGCTGATTCTCTGGAAGTGTACGGCCACATCTTTCTCCTGAGGCACCACCGAGCTAAATAGGACAACCACTCAACTGGCAGGCAAAGAGCCAACTATTTATCCTGGCAGGAGAAAAAAAACAAACCCAAACCCACCGCCACTGAGTCCAGTGAGACTCACAGCGCCCCCCCCCACACACACACACACACACACCCCGGGTTCTGAGGCTGTTCATCTTCAGAGGCGACCTCACCCCATCCTCCCTGGTTCAAATTGCTAAACCTTTCCTTTACCAGCCGGACAAGTTACAAAGAGAACCAGTGCCCGTATGGATCGCTAGAGGGCGCCAGGGCCCTAAAGACGATTCACACTTTGCAAAACCCTTCTCTCCAAAATTAAAACCATGTCATAGAGGAGCAAGTCTGCAACACTCTAATTTGTAGTTACAATGTGTACATATCCCTGTGAACTTGGTTACATTAATGCAATTTTCACCCTTCTGTGCTACTATTCTCCAACACAGCCTAATCAGGTTAACCCTTTGAATTCATGCATCCACTCATGTACATCTCAACATCAAGAAACAAAAATCCCACCACAAGATAAAGGTAAATAATCCAACTGAAAAATGGGCACAGGATAAGAACAAACACTTCACCAAAGAAGACATTCAGATGGCCAACAAGCACATGAAGAAATGTTCAAAATCCCTAGCTCTAAGAGAGATGCAAATCAAAACAACTATGAAATATCATCTCACCCCAGTCAGAATAGCAAAATTTAACAGAACAGCAAACATCAAATGCTGGCAAGGTTGTGGAAACTGGAACCCTATTCACTGTTGGTGGAAGTGTAAAATGGTGCAACCAATGTGGAAGATGTTGTGCCACTTTCTCAAAAAGTTGCAAACAGAGATACCATTTAACCCAGCAATTCCACTACTGGGAATATTAGCCTAAAGAGACCATAACCGACATCCAAGCAGATATATGCACACCCATGTTTATCCTGGCTTTGTTCACAATAGCAAGGAGTCGGAAACAACCCAACTGTCCATCAACAAACGAATGGACAGAGAAGCTGTGGTATAGTCACATAATGGAATACTACGCTGCATTGAAAAACAAGGAACTCATGCAATATTATTCAAAATGGGTGACCCTGGAGGACATTATGCTGAATGAAGAACTATCTCAGTCACAAAAGGACAAATACCACTTGATGCCACTGTTGTAGAATCAGACTGACATCAGGATTAGGGTAAGACTGAGAAAAACTGGATAAATTATGTATACTGCCTTGAAACTGATGAGGGAGAGAACAGGTTAAAAGTGATAGATGATAGGGTATTATGGTTCTAGGGTATTATGGTTCTCACAAGAGTACAGAATTAAGGTTGCATAGTAGAGTGTACTTGGGGTGGGGGCGGGATTGTATACCAACGAAAGAATTTTTCTTTTTTCAAAGAGAAGAAAAAACTGCGGGGGAGGGGTGGGCAGGGAGAAAAGTGCAACAATGAATGAATGGAAATCCAAAATCTTTAAATTTTCATTAAAATAAATTAAAAAAAGAAACAAAAATCCTCACCAGTAGATCAACAGGCAATATCAAGATAGAGAAAAGATTTACGTTGTCAAGGATGTCATTCTTAGATCCACAATCAACACCCCTAATTAACAGGAATTTTTAAAAAATCAAAAGATATGTTGCATTGGGAAAATTTGTTCAAAGGACGCAGCAATGGTAACGGATGCCAGGGGGCTGGGGACAGGCGATGGACCCGGAGTCGCAGGGGTCCGAGTGGACATGGCGTTTGCTTTTGGTGGGCAATGAATGGCCTGCTCACCGCTTGGAGATCTCCTGGTAACGCAGCTGCAGCTTCGCCTGCAGGTCTTGCTGTAAGAGGAGAGGGAGGTCAGCCTGCAAGTAGCCCCGGGGAGGGGAGGTCCGGGGACAGAGAAGGCCTGGGCGCTTGCACAGAGGGACAGGGTGATGGGCCTCGGAAATTAAGGGGAAAGCTGGAGGGACCGCATCCAGGACCCTTAGCGGGTCTCGGGCTAAGGGAGGGTCGAAGGTGGGGTCAGGGGACAGTAGAGTCCGGGACTGGAGCGGTCATAAACTTGGGGTTCCCGAAAAACCTGGCTTGGGAGAGGGTCACGGTCCTGGGAGTATCCGGGGGGGCGGGGGAGGGTCTCAGACTGCAGGGACCTCGGCTCTAAAGACCTCAGGTGCAGGGGTTATGCGAGTAGCGGGGGCGAGGTGGGGGACACGAAGCACACAGCCCACCCAGCGTCGCCCATCCCGCCCCGCGCACCCCGGATGCCCAGTTCCGCAGCCTCTGGATAAAGCGAGTGGCCGACGCCATCTTCCCTCCGGGCTCAAGGGCGCCAGTGACGTCTTAGCCGCGGAGGCTGCTGGGAAGGGTGCCGCGTCTTCTCGCGAGAGCAGCGGAGGGCGGGGCTTGAGCGCCCTATAAAAGCCCTCCCCAGAACTCGTGATTCTCTTCCGCCCGCCCGCCGCCGAACAGCCATCATGGATACCAGCCGCGTGCAGCCTATCAAGCTGGCCAGAGTGAGACAGGGTCCCAGATTTGAGGGTCGGGTTGAGAAGGGAGGCTGTAAAGCGGTCGGATGGGCCGGGTTTGAACCCCATTTTTATTTTGTCAGGTCACCAAAGTGTTGGGCAGGACTGGCTCGCAAGGGCAGTGCACGCAGGTGAGCTTGTGGGGGGCTCCCCTGTGACCAGGCCTTGTTTGCCCCTTCTGAACCCTAAACCCCGCTAACGTTAACCAGTCTTTGCAAAGCAACATCCGCTTTGTCTTGCGCCTCCCGGAGCCCTCGAACCCATCCAGGGTCCGGTCCCCGACACCTCCAGCCCAGCACGGCCCACCGCGCTGCGGCTGATCCGTGTTCCCCGTCTCCCTCCCTCCCCGGCCGTGCCGTAGGTGCGCGTGGAGTTCATGGACGACACGAGCCGCTCCATCATCCGCAACGTGAAAGGGCCCGTGCGCGAGGGCGACGTACTGACTCTGCTGGAGTCAGAACGAGAGGCGCGGAGGCTGCGCTGAGGCCGCCACCGGTGGGTGCACGCCCGGGGGGCCCCCTTCGCTGGGACCGGGGTCGGGAGGGGGGGGGGTCTGGAGGGGCAGAGTTCTACCGAGGGCAGTAGTTCAAAAGAAGCTGGCTGTTAAGGTTAGCGGTGTGAAACAGCAGCTCTTAACAGAAGAGGGACCTGGTGATATATGGACATCAGTATAGAAAACCCAGAGGCAGCCGTGCTCTTTTAGATGGGGTCGCTGCGAGACGACACACGGGCTTGTCTGACTCAGCTTCTCGGGTCTTTTCACAGGATCCTCCATGTCTCTTCTGCTTGGCCCCGGAAATGATATTCATCGTTCATTAAAATATATGTTGTGCTACTTCTCGTGTGGTCTTTGTATGGAAACCAGCAGGGAATATTAGATTGTGGTCAACAAGCCCAGCATATACCTGACGATTGTGTGGATGCTATTATAGTCGTGTTTTGAGCATGGGATCATCATGAGGTACGATTGACTGCAAACGATAGGTATGTGGGAACGTTTAGCATTTCTTCCTTTATTTGATTTGTTGTTAACTTAGGGAGCTCTGGGGATCTAGTGGAAAGAAGCTGTGCTGCAATCCCAGAGCCGGATGGTTTGAATCCGTCAGATAGATGCTTTACAGGGCAAGGATGGGCAGTCTCCTCCCATATGATTTACTGCCTCTGAAAGCCTGCTAGAGAGTCAGATGTGGATTGGTTCTGGCACAAAGGTACACAACAACATGTATCATCAAGGTGGAACCAACTCATACCTGACTCTACAGCAGGTTTTCAGAGGCAGTTAGTCACATTGCCTAGCTTTCTCCCTTAGAGCAGCCCGTGGATACGAACTGTGCTTTTTGAGTTGGCAGCCCAGCAGCTCCTTAGTACTAAGCCACCAGACCTCTCCTTTGTGATTTCTGTGGCAGTCATTAAACGGCTTGGGGAAGTAGTATCGTGTATCGGTGATCTTACATGAGATACATGCTTAGCAAGAATGTTTTATTAGGAAAAGGGGTTGTGTGAGATGAGGTCTGTCTGTCCTCATCACCACACTAGTGGCGGCCCCTGGATAGAGGACACTGACCCCTGCTGTTTCCCAGAGTCTGTAGGTGAACGGGATGTCCTTCATGGAGATGGGAGTTCCTCTCCACTGTCTCTGCATCCTTCTTCCATGGCGATGGTGGAGTCAGGGGGCAACTGGAGACAGACAAGTGGGGAGAGAGTCCTTGCTGTAGTCTTAGCACCTCCAGAAGCTAGGGGTTCTCACCACCTCGACTTATCAGTCTCCCTGCACTATGGGGATCATTCAGAAAGAGGAACCCACCCATTGTGGGGCTGCAGACAGGATGGCTGGATGAGTTTTATTATGAAATAGAACAGGCTGGCACTTTGCTGTGGAAGTGTAAGCAGTTCCCCTGGGTTCTGCTCCCCCCACCCTGCTGCTGGCAAAGTCTAATTCCACCTACTGAAGCTTTGACTTGCTGAGGCCTAGGCCATCACCCTGGGCACTGCTTAAGGCTCAGCTTGCCTTTCTTATTTGATAAGAGCAAATGATTGCTATAGTCAAGTGATGACCCAAGGCTAGTTTGCGACTACCCAAAAGTGCCTTGGAAGGAAGGCCTGTTGATCTGAGACATCAGCTATTGAAAACCCTATAGAGCACAATTCTACTCTTAACATTTGGAGCTGCCACAAATCAGCAGCTGGTAAGTAAGCTTGCCAGAAGTCCAGACTGCATCTTGGCCAAGGTCAGCTCCAGCTAGTGTGACCTGATTATCCTGTGCCTGCTGGAGGCCTTAGCCTTCAGAGGATAAACTCCATGAACATCACACTGGTTAATAAACCTCACAACCTAATCTCCAGTTTTTCACCACTGCAGGGAGCGGGAAAGGAAGCGTCTCCCTGGGCACTTGGTTCACTCCCACCCCATCCTTGCAGCTTGAGGGGAGCCGGGGGCTGCACTCACCGGGGACCCAGGCTGGCCTGAGCTCAGATGGGCATGTAGCAGTGCAGCCACCTCCTCTTGCTCAGCCTCCAGGGCAATGGCCAGGGCACTGGTGCCCTCCTGTGGGGTGCGAGGGAGAGTCAGGCACCTGGCCCACAGCACAGGTCCCCCTTGCCCACCCCACCGTAGCTCACATGGTCCAGGATGGCAGGGTCACAGCCTGGCTGGGCCAGCAGCAGGCGGACCGTGTCCAGGCGTCCATACTCGCTGGCACACATCAGCGCGGTGGCCCCGTCGGCATCCTGTGCATTCACATCGGCCCCACATGCCAGCAGGGCTGCCACCATGTCTTGACGCCCATGGCTGATGGCTAGCATGAGGGCTGTCTGCCCCGTCTGGGTAAGCAGAAGGGACAAGGCTAGGTCAGTTTTATCAGTGGTAGAACACTCCCCCCATGGGACTCTGGAAGCCGGAGAGGACAGACCACACACCTGGCTGGCTTTGGCATTGACGTTTCCCATGTGGAACAGCCTCTGGATGACTTGCATGTCCTCCTCACCCCGCCCCACAGAGGTCAGTGCAGCCAGCATGGGGGCTGAGTAGCCAGCTCGGTTTTGACGGTCTACGTCACAGACACCTGGGAGAGAAGTTCCCCAGAGTCAAGAGGTCAGCACCTAGACCACCAGCCTCTATCTAACAGGCCCCCACCTGCTTCCTTGCCTCAGCTTGAAATCTAACCCCCCTACTGTTTGGTGATAGGCTCTTGTGTTAATGAGGCCACGTGAAGTTAGGGGGCATCCTAGACAGATTGGTTTTTGAAGTATTGAAAACAGATGAGACAGCAAGCACAAAGGCAGGAAGAGGGACGGCCTGAGGAGCTCTCCAGGAAACCAGAAAAGGAGCTACTCCTAGGCCCTGAAGTCAGGCTTTGAGCTTCCTTGACTTTACTGGAACGACCCACTTGTGTTTCTGTTACAGCAGCACTCCATAACCTATACGGTTGTGCATTTGGTCGTGGGGATGGTAAGTTTCAGGTGAAAGAGAACACTTGCAGAATTTGCATGTCATTTCTATACATGCTGCCGAAGTAAACATTGCAGTGGAGTTGGGGTGCCGCATAGCTGACCTCCCAGTGGGTTTTCAGGGCTATAAAGCCCATGGGAGATTGCCCACCTTTCTCACATGGAGCTGCAGGTGGATTATAAGCACTACCAAAGAGGCATTACCTTTGGGGTCAGCAGTGCATTTCTGCACTACTACCTGAACTCAAGGCTGCAAGTCTCTGCTTGCAAGAGGCCCTGTCTTTCTAACTTGGAGTTGTTGGTGGTTTTGAACAGGTGTAAAAAGAGTTGAGTCTAGTGACATAAAAAAAGGGTTTCCTAAGTGGGCATCTCAGCTGTGTGGCCATGCTGTCTGCATGTACATTTCTGTAGGGAGTGGGAGTGACGAGAGTTGCTGCCAAGAGCCCTCTAGATCTGGATTGTGGCTAAAGTTCCTTGATTGCATCCTCAGGTTTTATTTTGTTAGGGTCTCTTCCTAACAACACACATAGCCATGCACTCACTAGGACCAAAGAGATTCTTTCCACAAACACTTAAGCCATGCTGGAGCTCATCAGACATCAGGGTGAGAGAAGTCAGAGAAGAAAAAAACCTGGAAACTCAGTAGAGGGTCTGCTCTGGGTTGGTTCTGACTCAACAGCATGCAACAGCAAATCACGTGGGAAGAGATTGACCATCTTTTGTGCATGGACTTGCTAGGCAATTCAGAATGCCTGAGAGGAACCTGCCTGGGTTAGCCTTGGCGTTCCTCTGTTGGACAAGAGAGCTGGATATCCCATGGAGTGCCAAACACAAAAATAAATCTTGGGGAAGGTGTAACCATGGTGTTCCTTCAAGTCAAAAAATAGTGAAACTTCAACTCACAGACGTTGGGCATGTTATTAGGAGGGGCTAATACTTGGAAATGGAAACAGAAGTGGCATCCACTTCCTAAATAACTTGCCTCTGGAAACTACCACCTTTGATAAATGTTTACAGTTGTAGGGGGGGCTTCAGGCCTTCTGTCAGAGGTTCGCTGAGTCGTGAGATCAACAATACTTGGAAAGGTGAGGGAATCGTATGCCAGCAGAGCCAACTTAAGGCTGATCCTCTAGAAAGAATGGGGGGGGGGGAGTTGGAGCTGAGATGAGGATGCCGGGAATAAAGGGGACCCAGGATGAAGCTAGGGGCTCAGGAGTGCTGCTACCCAAACAAGCACCTGTGTTGGCTCAAATCCATCAGATAAGGCTGTCTCCTCCCATCAAGATTCACAAAAAGGTGTCACTTGAATTAGCACAACGCCCTAAGAAACCAGGTCCCTGGAACTCCCTCATAAGACTCACAGGCTCAAAAACCCGGTGGAGGTTGCTGGGAGAAGAGCTTGAGAAGCCTGGAGTGTAAAAAGTCCTCATGCCAATTGAAAAGCTGGTGGTCTGAACTGCTCAGTGGCACCTCCGAAGAAAAGTCTGGTGATGTTGCTGAAAACCATACGGAGCAGTTCTGATACATGTGGGGTCCACAAGAGTTAGAAGCCATTCAGCAACAAAGGCAAAGGTTTAAGGATCCCTGGGAATACTCAGTTGGGCTGCTAACCTAAGGGTCATCAGTTTGAATCCACCAGCCCCTCGACAGGAGAAAATTGAGGCTCCTTACAGCCTTGGGGCAGTTCTCATGTGCACTGTGGGGCTGAGTGGACTGGACAGCAGCAGTGGGTTGGGTTTGGGGTCTCCTGTGATGACGGGAGGTCCTGCCTTACGACCTGCTGCAACCCCACACATCTGACTGGAAGGTGGTGGAGGTAGTTGGGACCAACTTATAGGGGACCTGCCGGTGGGTTTTCAGAGGCAGTTAATCAAACAGAAGATTGCTCATCTTTGTTCCACAGACTACCTTGTGGATTTGAACTGCATACTTTCAGGTTGACAGTGCAGCTCCTTACCACTAGGGCTCCCTGTCTAGAAGGTGGTGGTTATGTGGCATCGAGTCTCTTGCGACTCAATGACCTGATGTACAATAGCCCTGAAACCTGCTCTATTCAGTGCCAGCTTTAATGTCCCTAACACACCTACCCCCATGACCCCAGTCACTGAATCAACCATCTCATCGGTGCTGGAGAAGAGTATTGAATATACCACAGACTGCTAGGAGAACAAACAAATTCGTCCTGGAGAGGGTGAATGAATCCAGGCTGCTCCTTGGAGACAAGGATTTTGAAGCTCCATCTTACCATACTTTGGACATGTTGCAAGGCGGGATCAGTCCTTGTAGAAAGATGTCATGCTTGGGAGGGTGGACAGACAGCACAAGAGAGTAAGACTCTCAATGAAATGGATTGATTCAGTGACTGAGGTAATTAGGGTAGGTATGTCAGAGATAGTAAGGTTAGCACAGGATAGAGCAGGGTTTAGGGCTGTTGTACATAGGGTCGCTATGAGTTAGAAGCAACTGACGGCACATAACAAACACCCTCCGAAGCATGATGTCCCTCTCCAAGGACTGGTCCCTCCTTGCAACATGTCCAAAGTATATTAGACGAAGCTTCAGAATCCTTGCCTCCGAGGAGTGCCCTGGAAATATCTTCGAACTCATTGCCCCCTCCTCCCTGTCTATCCCAGAGTTGTGTCTTCTCCAGGGAGATTCCTGGAGGACACTGACTCTGTTGTCCGCCCCTGGAGGGAGGGAATTGCAGCTACACAGGAAATGTGGACTCCCACTCGCCCCAACTGTTTGAGGAGGGTCTTCATCACCTATTTATAGCTTTCTCCATGGGGTGTGTGTGTGTGTGTGTGTGTGTGTGTGTGTGTGTGTGCAAACAGGAGGCAGGTGGATAGATGAGTCAGAAGGGACAGAGGGTGGAGGACAGCAGGCAGCACCTAGAGGAGTTAAGCGTCTGACCAGCAAGTGACACCAGTTCCTCCCTGGAGACTGGAGAGGAGGCAAGTGACAGGGCCCTGTGACTCAGTGACAAAGAGGACAGGAGCCAGGTCTGAGAGGGTCGCTGGCACAGCAGGAGGCTCCAGTACATGTAGACCACTACTACGTGTGCTTGCCACGCATTTCAGAGATGAGAAGCTGAGGCTGCTGGAGATTAAATAGTTCCTCTCAGTTTAGGTGCACTTAGCCCCGAATCCACAGGCCAGAGGCGGCCGGTCGGGGAAGAACGGGTGGGAGGGGACAAAAGAACCCACACCAGTGGCTGAGCTCCGCCCACTGACTTCTGTACCTCCTGTCCGCTGAGGTGGCCTTTAGGGGTGGCCTGCACCTGGCCCACCCTCCCCTGTGTCAAGTGCTCCCCTCCATCGCCCCCCCATGTGCTCCTTCCCCCACTTCCTTGGCGCTGACCCGTATCCAGCAGCAGACTGGCAATGGCCAGGTTCCCGTGGGACACGCTGTAGTGCAGGGCCGTGTTCCCGTTGCCGTCGGCCAGATTCACTATGTGCGCCAGCAACTCGGGTCCGAGGTGCGCCATGGCACCCAACACCGCGGCCACAGGTGCTGCCCGCGAGCGCCGCTGGCTCGAAACCCGAAACCACTCCTGGGACACCAGGCGCGCGGCACTCTGCTGGGACAAGAGCGAGGCGCGCTGTGGTGATGCAGGGCGCAGGCACGTGGACGGGGGTGGTTTGGGGGCCGGACTGGAGGGGCCGCCTTGGTCACTGGCGGGGGAAGGGGAGGCGACCACATCCACTTCCGGAAGCAGTGTGAGTGAGTGGGGGTCCCCAAGCTCCCTCCAGGCAGGGAGATGGTTTCCTTCTGGGAAGAAGCCCATTGGCGAAGCAGGAGGCACGGAAGGCAGTGGGCGCTCGTCCCTAGGGGTTTCAGGAATTGGAGGGCGGGGGGCTAAGCCAGCCTCTTTTGGAGGAGCTAGGGAAAGATACGCTTGGGTCCCCAGGGCGCAGCCAATCTTGGAGAACCTAGGGTCAGTGGAAATTCTGAACGCGAGGGCTCGCGATCAGGGCTCTAGGAGACGCGCGCGCGCTTCTGTATCCGGGAGATGTCTGGGGCCGCGGGAGACCCCCCCATCCCCGGCAGGGCCTCGCTGGCCTCACTCACGCCGTCGCGGGCCACGCCGCGGGGCCGGCTCAGCTGTCGGTGCAGCGCGGCGCACGCCTCCCTCAAGCGCGGGCTCAGCTCGCACCTGTGGAAGAGGAGCGGATGCGGATGCTCAGGGGACGCTCAGGGCGCCGCGGGGACTGGGCTTAGGGCGCCACTCACCTCTCCTCTGTCCCGGGCTGAGCCTCCGCCTCCGCCTCCGCCTGCGCCTCGGCCTCCTCGGAGTCCTGGCCATCCTCGCCGCTAGGAGGGCCCGGCAAGCCCGAATCAGATCCCCCGCCGCTGTCGTCCCCGGAGCCCGAGGAGCTGCTCTGCGGGAGCTCGGCAGCGCCGTCCTCGCTGTCGCAGTCGCTGGCGTCCTCACTGGACGAGCTCTCGTACCTGGAGATAGCGTGGGTGGGAAGCGTGGGTGGGAAGTGTATCCTAAACCTGATCGGGGGGGCGGGGGGGGCTCCCGGAGTCCTGCCAGCAGGGGAACGCAGGGCTGTTCCGGTTTTACAGATACGGGAACTGAGGCTTGCCAAGATCGCGCCGCAAGCGAGGGGCAGAGGTGCGATCCGAATCCCGATCCCTGTCCCCTAGATACCGCCACAGGGAAGGGGTAGGTGCTCACTCTCCGTTGAGGACCCCAACAAACTGCAGACTCTTGGGGCCAGGGCTGGGCTGGGCGCTCGATGCGCCGTCTCTTTTCTTCATGATTGATTTGAGGACACCTAGCGGGGGGCAAGGGGGACACTGGGTTCAGACCCGGCGGCTGGCAGGAGCGCAGTGAAGGGATGAGAACAGTGAGGACTCACCCGTGGGGGCCACGGCTGGTGGGCCCTCCGCTGGCCGGGGCGGGGTCTCCGGCGTCAGGGAGGGTGTATCCAAAGGGCCCTCGGTCTGCGTGGCCGCCTCCGCGCATTTCCATAGGGTCTGGGTGGCGGCTTCGCACGGCTGGGCCCGGGCCTCGGCCTCCTCGGCAGCCTCGCGCGCCTCCTCCAGCTCTCGCAGCCGGCCGCGCAGCAGCTCGCTCACCCCGCGCTGGTGCTCCAGACCCGCGCGCAGCAGCTCGAGCTCGCGCTCAGCGGCTTCAGGGAGCCCGAGCAGCGCCTCTGTCACCCAGGCGTCCGCCTCGACGGTCTCAGGGGCTGCCTGCGTGCTGGCTTCTCGGATTTCCGGAGCCGCCTGCACGCGGGCCTCTAGGGTTTCCAGAGCGGCCTCCACGCTGGCCTCCCGGGTCTCAGGCACAATCCCGGCGCCCTCTTCCTGGGGGCGAGGAACCCCTACCAGGACCGGGGGCGCATCCTCGCGGCGCCTGGCTATGGAGCCGTCGGGGCTGTCAGCCCGGGGAGTGGCCCTGGCACGGACGCCCCGCTCGGAGGTGGCCAGGCGCTCGGTGAGCCGGCGCAGTTGGGCCAACTTGGCCGGGCGCGCCTCGGCCTCGCCGTCAGGCTCTTGCTTCGCGCGCCCCGCCAGCAGCTGCGCCTTTTCTGCGCGAAGCACGCGCACTTGCTCCTGCAGCTCCGGCAGAGCGCGGGCCTGCTCCTCGAGCTCGCGTAGGCGTCTCAGCGCCGCGGCCATCTGCTCGCGCACCAGCTGCAGTTGCGCTGGCCCGGGCGAGGCGGGGGCGGGGTTGAGGCCAGGGCCTGGGGCGGGGCTGCTGCGGCCAGACCCTCGTGGGCTACGTGAGACCCCCGCGCGGGCGGGACTGGGCGCGCGCTCTTGCGCCTGCGCCAGCTCTAGCCGGCGGCTAGTTTCCAAGAGTGTGTGTTCGACGCGCGGGTTGCGCGCGGGTACACGCGGTGACAGTGGCAGCATTAGGAGCCCAGGAGTGGAGCCTGGCACACTGCCGTCATCACTGGCCAGGGACTCACTGGACGTCCAGGCTCCAGGACTGCGCACACCTGTCAGGCCAGCTCGGGGCGCCCGGGGGCGGCGCGCCGGTGGGGGTCCCGGGATGCGGTGGGCGGTGGGGCCGCGCTCCAACTCTTCCACGTACTTGAGAAAGTCCAGGTCCAAGTGGAATCCGTAAGGCGTCTCCACCGAGTAAGGTGAACTCGGGCTGCGGTCACCTCCGGCGGAGCCCGGGCACAGGCGATGGCCGCCCAGGTCTGCAGACATGACCAAGTGTGGGGAGGCATCAGATAGAGGAACCTCCAGAGGGACTGGACAAAGAGGGGGTGCGCTCTGCTGTCTCTTGACTAAACTGCACCACTCTATTTATAATGAACCTTGCCTGCACACCTCCCACTGTCCATGCACACCCATTCCCGGAGGCTGGCACATTCATCCACAGCCAGACAATCCAAGTTCACGTTTATTGAGTGTCTGCCGTGTGTCTTCTCTGGGTCACTGGGAACACAACAGTGGGTCAGACAGACAGGTATCTCTGTCCTCTTTGGAGATAAGAGTTAAGACAAGTAAATAAATATGATCACTTCAAATGATCTTAGGGACCATAGTAATACTAATCCAGGCCCATCACTTTCTAATCAAGTCAAATTCATGGAGACACACCCCATGTGTGTTAGAGCAGAAAATGGCCTGGTCTTTTTTTCCAAGCCACTTCTGAGTGGATTCACACCATTCGTTGTTGTTGTTGTTAGCATGGTAATTGAACTACCCACGGCTCCGATAATAGCAGCACGTGAGGTAAAGGACAAGTGAAGGGGCATGGTTTTAGTCCTAGGTTTTAGGCAAGGCTTTCTGCAGAAGGGGCTTGTTACTGAGTAGGAGGCAGCTGGTGACAGAAGGTTCCCAGGAGGAAAGGCCCTGGGTGGGAATGTGCTTGGTGAGCTGGAGTCACAGCTGGGTGGGGCAGAGAGTGTCACAGCACAATGAAGGGAAAGGAAAGGCAAGCTGAGCTGGAGGGGCGGTCAGGACACTGTGGGTCCTTGGCCTTATGAAGGGTTAGGATTTTATTCCACATGTGACAGGACACTGCCCATGGGTTTAATTTAAGCAGGGCAATGACGTTATCTGCTGCATGGTCAGAAAAGGCCCTTTGGCATGGCATGGAGGGGGGAACTTCAGGGCTGTGTCCACACATACTGGCTCTAAATGGACCTGTGCACACATGGCTTATATCTCCCACACTCACCCGGCCGGTTCTGATTCAGGACGAACTTGGCCATGGTTCCTGGAGCAGCTGCCACACACACCCTGAAAAAAGGCCCCCAGAGCAGTAAGGGTGGGGTTGTCCAGTTCCAACCCCATACCACACAACTCACGCTTTGCCTTTCTTGGGTAGGTCCTTGAGGTCAGTGGTCAGGTCAACAGACCTGAGAGTCCCTCTGTGGTGTCAGTAAATTACTTTAAAAATTAGCTTTTCTATCCATTTTTGTTAGCCCCTGCTGGGTAAATGCTCTCCAGCTACCTTAACTATGGACACATGGTCTTGCATCAACAGCTGTGGGACCAATATAAGAGAGTGCTTTCCGCACTGTGAGTGTATGTGAAGACACCAACACAGGCATGGCAGTATGACTTTTTTACTTAGCCCAAGCTTGCTGGAGGATGAGAAGTTGCTTGGACTGAAATCATATGCTCTGGACTAAGTGTCCAACTGCATCCAGCCTGGCCCATTTGTTCACCAGTTTCTGCAAAACCAGAGTCATTCACCTGACAGGTCTGAGTCTCTGTGGGACCTTCCAAGAACCATCAAACCCAAGGGACATAGAGGAGCTGGGAAAATGAACCAAGGAGAAGCTGTTGATGTAGAAATCATGAACTGATACAGCAAGTTAAGCATTTGGGACTAGGTAAACTTGAGACTTCTTATAACTGATCTGCTACTAATCATAGCAGAACACAATATATAAACACTTTCTCTCAAGTAAGATGTAAAGAAACTTTGGGTTGAGTGACCCAGGGACCCCACGTGCCAGGTCTCCCATCTGCTAGACAGAAGGAAGCAGAGAGGGTCATCACAGGAGAATGGACCAGACCAAGCCACTTCCATCAAAGTCAATTCACACTCACAGTGGCCAACAGGACAGAGTAGAACTGCCCATAGGATTTCCAAGGAAATAATGAGAAAAGAACGCATCATGGTTGGAGAAATGGAGGGTCATCGAAGAAAAGGAAGATCCCTAATTAGAGGAACTGACACCATGTCTGCAACACACGGGTAAGCACAGTAGAGATTGTAAGGATGGCGCCGGGATCTGGTCAAAGCTGACACAACCTCATCAAACAACACATCTGCCTCATCTTTCTCCAAGTAGATGGTGAATTTGAACTTGAACCACCAACCCTTAGTTTAGCAGCCAATGCTTAGGTGATGGGCCACCAGGGCTCCTTCAAGAGAAAATAATAAGATGGTTATGAGGACAGATGCAGATGATACAACCCTGCTTGCTGAAACTGAGGAAGACCTGAAGCACTTGCCGCAGAAGGTCAAGGACTACAGTCTTCAATATGGATTGAAGCTCAACATCAAGAAAACAAAGATTCTCACCACTGGGCCAATTGGCAGCATCAGTATGAATGGTGAAGAGATTGAGATAGTTAACAGTTTTAGTTTACTTGGCTCCACAATCAACACTCTTGGTAACAGCAGCCAGGAAATCAAGAGATGAATTGCATTGGGAAAGTCAGCTGTGAGGGACCTCTCCAGAGTACTGAAGAGCAACGACGTCAGGCTAGAGTCTAAGGTGCACCTGATCCAGGCTATAGTCTTCGCAATTATGTGCTATGCATCAGAGAGTTGGACAGCTAATAGGGTTGATAGAAAGAGAATTGATGCCTTTGAGCTGTGGTGCTGGAGAAGAGTGATGAATATACCATGGACTGCTAGGAGAACAAACAGGTTTGTCCTAGAGAAGGTGAAGCCGGAATGCTCCTTGGAGTCAAGGATTCTGAAGCTTCGTCTGACATACTTCAGGCATGTTGCAAGGAGGGACTGGTCCTTGGAGAGGGACATCATGTTTGGCAGAGTGGAGGGGCAGCGAAGGAGAGGAAGACCTTCAATGAGATGGATCAATTCTGTGACTGGAGCAGTAGGAATAAGTGTTTGAGATGGCTAGGTTGGCACAGGATAGAACAGTGTTTAGAGCTCTTGTGCATGAGCTCATGTCACTATGAGTCGCAAACGACTCGATGGCACATAACAACAACAACATGAGGACAGAGGACATCTAAGACCTACAGGTTTATGTCAGGCCCTGGGAGAATGGAAAAGCACTGCTCAAAAGGGTTAGGGGGTGACCCTTTAGAGAAGACAGACAGAAGCCCAGAGCCCTCTGTGGACTCAGTAAAACTCATCTGATCCAAGTCAGCATTTTTAAAGTAAGAAAGAAAACAAAATAAGACAAGATGTCTTGGATTTTTTTTTTTCCTTTCCACTCTTAGAGAAATTGAGAAAATGCAAACAAGCTACAATTGTAGACCTGGATTCTGATGTTTCGCCCAGATTTCTCACAGGACTAATGAACACCTGTGGGTCGTGTGGACCAATGATGCAAATTAATGGGCAGCTGTCTGTCTGAAGGCTCTGTAGGGGCATGCCACAGGGCTTTGGAGAGTTTGTAATGGACCCACAGGGCCCCCGGTTGTCACAGCTGGTTGGTGTGTGACTTTTTGTGTGACATGAAGGAACTGAAGGAGATTGGGCCATGACTAACACAAAATTTAACAAGGACAAACACTGAGTCCAGACCTTGGGTCCAAAGATCTCAGAAGAGCCCACCTGAGGAGCCTTCAGCAAAGGGAAAGTAGTTTGTATTGAGTGCCTACTGTATGCAGTCCTGAGCTATTTTCACTCACATTTTCCAGCTGGGTTAACTGAGGCTCAGAATAATGAAGTCAGTTGCCTGTGGGAAGCACCCTCAGAGGGGGCTCTGCCCACCTTCTAGAGACCCCCTAAACACCAGTGCCCAGTACCAGCCTTTTGTGGCCATCAGGCCACCCAGCCCAGACCTCTTGGTGACTATTTGTGTACCTGACACCCCCAATCCATGGACCCCACACCTTGCTTCATGCTGGGTCCTGCTTGGGTTTCTTCCACCACCCTCCCTCTTCCTAAAACCAAGTGGGACCCTTCCAGCTCTCAAGCAGCTGTTTCCTGTCCCCACACCTCCCTGGCAGGGCAGCTGGTCAGCAGAGAGGACAGCCTGTGCCTCTCACAGCTTGTTTTCAGGAAGTGACCAGGGAAGAACTGGGCCGTGGAAAAACTGGGGCCGGCGGTCAGGGGACTGAGCCTGCCTCCAGCACAGCTGCTGTGTGACTCAGCGAGGTCCTGGTCACACCTGGATTCCAGGCCTGGGGACTTCAGAAAACAGTTGTGCGCCACCCATAATACCCACACTGACCAGAGCCATGGGGCCGGACTGAGACAGGAGCTGATGGACCCAGGAGGGGGAAAAATAACAGTCTGGGCCTCTTCTTACTATGGGCCAGTCTCTATTCTCAGCAATTTATGAGTATTTACAGATGTTGTTGTGTGTAAAGTCGAACTAGTTTCACTCTTATTGGCCATGTGACAAAGTAGAACTGTCCAGTAGGGTTTCCAAGGTGGTCAGTATTTAGGAAAGCATATTGCCACATCTTTCTGCAGCAAAACAGCTGGTGGGTTCGAACTGCCCACCTTCTGATTAACAGACAAGCACCTCATCCCTGTACCAGCAGGGCTCTTTCTGTAATGATTACAGCCTACAGGGTCGCTGAATCTAATTCATTCATTCATTCATTCATTCACAGCAGTGAGCTTAGGTTTTGCAGTCCTTATGGGATCACCAATATCTTGTTAGCTGTTAACCATGAACCACATGCTCCACCAGGGTTTGTAAAACTTCCTTCCCCTCCAGGTTGACTTTCCCTTCATTTATCCAAACCACCACTCCCCTGCCCCCTGTTCCTGCTGTTGTTAGGTGCCTGTGGAGTCGAGTATACCGCACAGTGACCCTAGGAACAACAGATCTGAACTCTGTCCTATCCTGTACCATTCTCATCGCCTCTGACACACTCAGCCCATTGCTGCAGTCACCCTATCAGTCCACCTGGTTGAGGGTCTTCTCTTTCTCTGATCTTTCCAAGTATGATATCTCCTAGCAAAATGCCCAAAGCGTGTGAGAAGCTTCCTACAGATGGATAAACGGAGGCACAGAGAGAGGAAGCGTCCTGCCCGAGGTCACACATTGGCCAGAGGCAGGATTCGAACCCAGTTAGAGTCTCTCTTCAGGACCACTGACCTTGTGACCATTTAGAAACAGTCGTTCAAGCAGAGCAGGGAGCCCAAGGGGGTGTGGCTGTGCCAGGCTGTCCCCCAGCGCGCGGGTCCCTGCCTGTGGGGCTGCAGCCTCATCCCGAAGCAGCACGCCCTTGCGTTCTGTGCCCGAGTTGTCACCGCCAGATCCGGATCCCCTCCTTGAGACCCCTCATTAGGCTGTCAGAGCCGACGCCTCACGCCCCCACTCCCGCCCCAGGGACTATTTCTAGAGGCAGAGCCGTGAGCGCGAAGCTGGAGGGGTGGTGGAGGACACCGCAGGCAGCGTGGATCACCGTCCTGGGAAGGCGCCCCTGATGTTGGGGGCGGGGTTCTGAGACCCTCAGAGGTTCGAGGGAGATGCTGAGGAAGGCGGGAGGGTCCTCATCCCGCCAGGGCACCCCCCACAGGACACCTCCTCCCCCACGCCTGCCCAGGACGGCCTCAGAGGGACAGCGCTGTTTCCTACAGGAAGCTCCGCCGGGCGGTTCCATCCGCCGCCCATTGTCTGCCGTCCGTCCCCCCCAGAACCGTTTCCGTATCACCCCCCTATGTCCAACGCCAGGGGGCTGGTCCCGGGGCCCCTAACCACTAGAGTCCAAGGGTCCCACAGCCAAGTAGTTGCGAAGGGACAAGCTAGCGCGCCCCCCCATTGGCTCCTGGAGGGCAAAAGGGAGTCATCTCCCTAACTCAGAGCCCCAGCCCCTGTCTCCCAGACCTGGGGCTCCAGGGCCCCCAGGGTCCCATCCAGCGCACCCACGCCCGCCCCGTCCATCGCGCTGAGCCCGCAGAAGGGCTGGCGTGCAGCACCCCGATCTCCAGGGTGGCTGCTCCCCCAGGAACCCCGGCCCTGGTGACCCCCAAGCCGGTGCTTTACCTGGAACCGCAGCCCGCGCCGGCGCCCGCCCCCTCGAAGCTCAGGGTCGGAGT